AAAATAGAAAGAAATTAGCTGGACAACCAAAAATACATAGAAAAAATTAGCCGGGCATGATGGCGCATGCCTGTAGTCCCAGCTACTTGGGAGGCTGAGGCAGAAGGATCGCTTGAGCCCAGGAGTTTGAGGTTGCTGTGAGCTAAGCTGACTCCACGGCACTCTAGCCTGGGCAACATAGTGAGACTCTGTCTCAAAAAAAAAAAAAAGAAAGTCTATGAACATATCAAAATATCACATGTACCTCATAAATGTGTCCACATATTCTTTTTTTCTCTTTTTCATTTCTTTATTAGTGTCACATACACTGGTGCCAATAAAGCTGTCAAGCGTACACACATTCTGTACCAATAAAAAAATTTTAAAGAGAGAAAAGAATGGACACAGGCATATTTGAAGAAAAAAATGGATAAAATTTTTCAAGAATTGATGAAACATATCAAATCATAAATTTAAGAACCCAACAAATCCCAAGAAGGATAAATAAAAAGAAATCCACTGCCTAATATATTATAATGAAACTGCAGAAAACCAGACAAAGAGAAAAACCATGAAAGCAGCCAGAGTAAAACAGACAAATTATCTTCAAAAGCCGTAACACTTGGAAGATTCACACTTCCTGATTTCAAAGCTTACTACAAAGTTACATCAATCAAGACAGTGTGATATTAGCACAAAAGGAGACATACAGATGAATGGAATAGAATTGAGAGTTCAGAAATAAATCCTCACATTTACAGTCAATTGATTTTCAACACAGCTGCGAAAATAATTCAATGGGGAAAGAATAGTCTTTTCAACAAATGGCTATGGACAACTGTATATCCACATTGACAGAATGAAGTTGGAACCCTAACTGACACCGTATACAAAAATTAACTCAAAATGGATCAAGGACCTAAGTGTAAGACTTAAAAACAGAAACACACAGAAGAAAACAAACATAGGGATGTTTCTTCATGACCTTGGGTTGGGCAATGGTTTGTGTGTGTGTGTGTGTTTTGAGACAGAGTCTCACTCTGTCCCCCAGGCTGGAGCGCAGTGGCATCATCATAGCTCACTGCAGCCTTAGCCTCCCAAGTAGCTGGGACTACAGGCATGCACCACCATGCCCAGCTCATTTTTTTTTTTTTTTTTTGTAGAAACAGGGTCTTACCATGTTGCCCAGGCTGGTATAGCATTATTATTAAAAATTCACCAAGAAGTGGAAACAACCCAAATATCCACGAGCTGATCAATGGATAAATAAAATGTGCTACACAAGGGAATATTATTCAGCCACAAAAAGGAATGAAATACCGATATATGAATGAATCTTGAAAATATTATGCTAAGTGAAATAAGCCAGACAGAAAGGCCACATATGGAATAATTTCATTTATAAAAATGTACAGAAGAGGCAAATCTGTAGAAAATAGCTTAGTGATTGCTTAGGGCTAGGGGAAGGGATAGGGGAATTTGGTCCATAACAACTGCCTCAGTTACCCACATCTCAAACTTGAGAGTCATGCTAGACATCTCCCTGAGCAAACAGGTTCTGTCAATCCTAGCTCCTAAATAGCTTTTAAAAATGTTCCCTCCCTCTTCATCCCCTCTACCATTAACAAAGTGCAGGGTCTCAGAACTTCTCAGTTATTATTGACATTGAAGAATTACAATTTCAACTTCTGAACTGGTCCCCCAGTCCCTACCCTCTCTCCAGCTCACCTATTCCTATTTACCTGTCTGTCCATCCATCTAATTTATCTTTTTTAAAAAAATCTGTTCATATTACTTTTCTTTCACAATGTTTCAAAGGTGTATATCCCCAGGTTGGCATGACTTCTAAAGATCTTCAAGATCTTCCAGAAAGCAGGACTAAGTCTAAATTTACCACCTCATGCTTAACTACTTCCCCACACAGTTTTTTCACTACCATGGTATATTCTCTTTCTTCCTTCCCTTCTCCTCTCTCTCTCTTTTGAGACAGTCTTGCTTTGTCACCTGGGCTAGAGTGCAGTGGTGTGATCATAGCTTACTGCAGCCTCAAACTCCTGGGCTCCAGCGATCCTCCTGGCTCAGCCTCCCGAGCAGCTGGGACTGCAGGTGTGTACCATGCCTGGCTAATACCGTGGTACATTCTTCTAATATATCACACATCCTGCCTTACTGCCTCCTCCTGGAAGATCTCCCTGAAGGCCAGCCTAGTTGGCTCACAGAATTCTGAGATACTTCTATCATTAAATATTCACGTCTCCACAGACATTAAAGTCCTTGAGGACAGTGCTTTATTTCTCTTTACAGCTAGAATACTTTTAGCACTCCGCCTAACGCAAAAAGGACTCTTTGATTACTTTAGCTGAATTTTGCACACATCCAACGCTTTGTACATCCTTTCCTTCCAACAAAATCCTACTCAAGCTTGAATTCCCCTATGAAGCGGTCCCTGGCCTCCCTAAGTAGTCAGAATCTCTGAGTCCTTTATCTACCGCCCCTGAATTTAACAAATTATATTTTAGTAGTTTATACAACTGACTGCCGTAAATGTTAACACTTTCACGTTTTCTTGCTAACAGCAATCCTTCCCATGCTTCCAGCCTCTCTCCAAACTCACCTCCTTCATTTAACAGTTCGCCGATCCCCATAGAGAATTCTTTCTTTAAACTCAGCGTATGATGCGTCTATTAAGTACTTGTTACTCTTTCATCACAGCCGCCTGTTATTGCTCTCCCAGTTCCCTCCCTCTCCTCCGCAACAGACTGTCAACTGCAGACCCCGCCTCTCCCTGCAGCACTTGGCACTGCACTTTGCGAATGCAGCGCTGGAGCATCTCGGGGAACCTCCCGCAGAGACAGAGCCCTTTAAAGACAGACGTCTCCGCAGGTGGGTTCGGCCGCCGGATGACAACGCTTCACCGCCCAGGGATCCGCTGGCTCCCCGCGACTGCAGGTTTGACCCCAGCCAGGAGGGCGCGCGTCGGGGCGGGGTGGGGTAAGAGCGGCCCGACCCTTCCCCCTCCCAGTTCCTCCGCCCTGGCAGCGGCCGGACCCGCGTGGGAAACCCGCGCAGGCGCAGTGGCACTCTCGAGCACGTGACGCTAGCGCCGCTGGCGCCGCTGCTGCGCGCTCCTAGGGCGGTGCGGTAGGTCTGCTAAGGACCTGCTTGGTTGGAGACAGCCAACTGGCCCCTAAATAAGTAAGTAAATAAATAAAACTCTGTGAGGAGAGGAGGGAGCGGCGGGTGTCGTTTTGAGAGCTACTGAGGCTCAGCTTGTCCTTGGCTGGGGCAGGACGGTGGTCCTAGGCTCACCGTCTCCGCCAGAACTGGGGCAGGAGAAGTCCCGCTTTCTGGAAAGTTGTTCTGGCAGCAGAACAAAGGACTCCTCTTCATTCTGCTTCTTTCAGCTCCAGCCTTAAGGCTCCGGGCTCGTGGGCGCAGCTGTGTAAGACTGGAGAGGCCTTGTCACTGCCACCTCTGTCCAGCCCAGCGCTGGGGCTACAGTCCCCTTCCCTCCAGCACTGGAACGACACTCTCCTAACTGGCCTCCCAGCCTCCTTCCTTGCTGGCTGCCGACTCTACATTCTAAAAAGGCAAATCGAACACATCCTCTGCTTGAAACTGCCAGTGCCCTCCCGGGGTTGGAGGCGCCAAGATCCACTCTAAGCCCTGCGGATGAGGCATTCGTGATGAGCTCCAAGTTCCAGCCACATCTAGAGGAAGGCCACCAAAGAGCCAGGCCCTTTCAGCCTTGATGCTTGTACATAAACTGCCCCTCGCACCCTCCATTTCTATCCAACCTGGTGGCCCCAGAGGCCTTCGCCAGGACATCCCCACTGCCCCCAGCACTACTCCCACGCAGGCCGGTTCCTGTCGCACTCAGAGCCAGAGCATGCCCCCTATCACAACTCTTATCACACCTGCTAGGTTCATGGATTGCAAACAAAAGGGGCTGTGTGTTTTTGGATGTGTATTCCTCAAGTCTTACACAGTACAGATAGGTAGGGCTTCAATAAATGGATATTGGCGGGGCGCGGTGGCTCACGCCTGTAATCCTAGCTCTCTGGGAGGCCGAAGCAGGCGGATTGTTTGAGCTCAGGAGTTTGAGACCAGCCTGAGCAAGAGCGAGACCCCATCTCTACTAAAAATAGAAAGAAATTATT